GATCATCCTGAGGGGGGGGGTCTGAATAAACACGGTGCAAACACATCTGGAGACGCTTTAATAACGGGACAGTTGTGTTTAGAATGAGGAAAAAGGATAAATGTGACTTATCCTGCCTTAAAAAGCGACATTACTCGAGATTAACTTGCATTTAGATTTTTTTTCCTCCAAAAACCACCTGACAGCGGCCATAAACTGGGTCATTTCACGGGAATATTATAGTTAAACTTTTGTAAAACTCATTTAAACACCAAATCAGAAATCCCCTTATTGACATTTTAGGGGTTTATAGTAATATTTGTCTTCACGTGAGGTAAAACGGAGTGTTTTCCAACTTTCTTCGCCGTTTCCTGGTTCAGATTATCAGTTTTTGAGCGCCCTCTAGTGGATTTTAAATAAACTGCACACAACTTTGATTTAATGTTTCAGTTACAGTAACGAGCCTTTTTTTTATTTTGCCGCCTCGTGTACAATAATACAGATATTTATATATCTGTTTGCCTGAAAAATTCATAAGACTTTAATTTAAGTGATTTTAGCTGCAACTGGATGGTTGAAATTTGACCAGATTTGTATCAAAGCTTGTTCTCTAATGGTGACATTCATTGTTTATTGGGACCTTATAAAAGACTTAAGATTGATTTAATTTAACTTAATGTAAATGAGAAACATGTTTTCCTCTTTCTCATGAATTAACAAGAGGATTACACAAGTCACACTAAGCTGTTCAATCACACAAGCACTAATAAAAATAAGTAAATAAACAACCAAGATTCAGGAACAACTCAAATTTAACCAAGAGGACTTTTTTTTCTAAATTAGATGTGGTAGAAAATGAGTAAAAAGTTTTCTGTCTGGTTTAATTTAATTTAAAAAAACTAATAAAAAAATAACTCTGACTGACATTTGGACTGAAATATTAAAGGTTTTTCCCAAAATTATGCCTATTCAAATTCCGTTTCCGATTTGTTTCCAAACTATTGTCATGTCAATTCAGCCCTTTTAAAACACTAAAACCCTGAAATTTTTTTATAATTATAACCAATAAAAAAACTCCCCCAGCCGCCCCCAAAACCTAGAAACAGCTCTTTGTGTGTCACTGATTAAAAGGTGTCAATCAGAGACCTGTGAGCTCATTTTACTGAACTAACTATTTATTTAACCATAATTAAAAGTCCTTATTTGAAATTAAATCATTCAAAACTATCTTTTAAATGTAGATTTCTTTTGTTGAGGACAAATGTCAAACAGAGTCCTTAAAAAACCGTCATTCTTCATTGATGTCCACAGAAGTGATTAATGGCAATTGATGAGCCAT